TTTTGAGCGGTGGTTATAAATGCGCCGTTGCCCACACCAATGTCACCGTATCTCACGATAACGCCTCAAAAAATATAAAATGGAGGTATGAAATGCCCCTTCCTTTCTCCTACACCATTTCTCGTTTTCACTACATTACAGTCGATCGGGATAGAATGGAAACACAAAGAAGCACTCCAAACACATTCTTCATATTGATTTATCATCTAAGTACTGTTACAACACCACAAAAAAGATGATGAATTATTTGTGAGTGTTTGCAGTCGATTGATCAACAATTCGAGAGGACACATAGAGCCACAAATTGCAAGATTTGAATTTGTCGGACTAAAACGGTGCGTGCTCTCGTGGGAGGAGAATCGTATCCAATAGTTTATCAGACTCTTACAGACTTCCATTTCACCTCCTTCAACAGTGAGACCCCGGCAATCCTACAAATAATACATAATGGCTATGTTTTCTTGGGACCACTGTGAAATCTCCTTTACGTTACTCGATTCAGGTTTTGAGGAAAAAATTCAGTAAACGTTGAAGACCGCAACGTATTTCTTTTGTAGTGGTCAGGAGCAACAATATGAACGATTTGTCAAAACTGTTCAAACCAAGCCAATGCTCTGCTTTCCTTCAAAGGCGCTTGCTTCTTCAAAGGACATAAAGGACACTCACTTCTTATTATACATTTTACATAGTAATCAAGTGTGGACAGAGAGTACGGTAATGGAAAATGACAATGGCTTGGGATCAGCGAATCAAATCTCTCCCACACCAACCAAAAATTATGGCCCGGTCAGTTGCCCTAGCGAGCAAGCAGTACTGGCTGCCATTACTGGAATTCTGTTCCATAACTCCAAGAGGAAGAAAGGTTCCGACTTCGTTGTAAGCGCACTTTTACAAAGGATGTTCCCCGATAACAAAGTGAGAAGATGGCCACGGTTGGGAGCAGATGGACAGCTGAGGATGACTTCGAAATTGGACATCCACGGAGAAAAAGTCTTGCTACGTGTGGTGAAACAGTATAAGACTGGCTTACTATGGAGAGCTGATTGTGGGTCAGACAGTTACAGCTGAACTCTGCGTACAACAGCTCCACCACGTGGGCCGAGCTCTGCGTCGTCAAGGGGTAAATTCGGCCAATGTAAAACTATTGCACGATAATGGAAGACCACATGTCGTGAAAATCACGCAACAAGAAATCGAGGAGTTGGGCTGGGACGTTCTACCTCCAGCGCCATATAGCCCAGGTCTGGCGCCGTCCGACTATCACTGACCCAGGTCAGCGCAACACTCCTTAGCAGCAAACCAATTCGATAACCGCGACGACGTCAAAATTTGAGTGCCCAACTTCTTCGAGTCGAACCAGAAAGAGCCATCCATGCTTTGCGTAACAAAAGGTGATGAGCCTGTGACACAGGTGATGAAGGTGCACCGAAAATTGTCGTGGTAGTTTGTGACAGGCATGTGTCACATTACTGAATACTAATGTTCACATGATCGGAATGTTAAACAGTTTGCCGGCTCGGGGTGTGAAAAGGTGCCGTGCCAGAAATTGGAACGGGGTCAAGAATGGTGACAACAAATGTTCAAATACATCTCACCTTCTATCATCCATCAACCTACGGATATTGTATAAATTTTCTATCCACAGTAATGGCTTTGCTCCTCCAGTAGGATCTCCTCCTGAAATGTTGACTAACATCCGCGTGAAGAATTCTTGTTGGGCGTCCGACCCCGAATAGGGAACATTTTCTTTTGAAGGAAATGGTCTCAAATAACAAAGTGAATATTTTGAAATTCTCTGGCAGCGGAAGGACGTTTTTGGGTTGTCTGGGTGATGTGGGGGAGAATGCTTCGGTTCTGAAATCAAAATGATTATCAATATGTCTGCGGTAATGTTTAGCGTTGTTATTTATGCCTTTGGGGCGGTAGTGGTGCAGCAGTAAGTGGCGCTGCTTACCCCGCACGCAGTCCGTGGATCGAATCCTGGGTCGTGCGGCGACCGGGCCAACGAAGCCTTTCATTCAGCGGGGATCTATTAATGGGTACCGCGCTTGTCTGGGAGATAAAAAACAGTGAATCGTAAATTGGATGGCTTTCACAAGTCATTCTTTAGGGCAAATCGCATTCAAGCGCCACCACGAATGCGAACGGAAGTAGAATGCGTGCCGCATCCAAAAAAGCTCGATTAGTGGCAGTGCTTTACACATTTTTCTTTATTTATGCCTTCCTTTTTAAAGTTATGTTATAACATCTATAATACTATTCCGTGTGTCGTTTTGTTTTTTTATTTTTACTTCATATTTTTTGTATTCTGGCCATTTCATGTTGAAAGATATTCAAAGGCACGACGATCCCACAGCGAATGGGATTTTATGCACAGCCGAAAAGTTGTGGTCAATGTTGACCTCTCTATCCTATTGTAACACTTTAGGGGCGGCCTTTCCGAAAGCATCCCGTTTTCAGACAGTTTTTTTTTTAACCCATCAGCATTAGGGCCTAGTGCACAGCAGGCGGCATGCATCGTATTAAGGATATAGGGTGTGAAAAACAGCGCTGCGGCAGCCGACGAGCTTCCTCTCGAGCGGAGTGGTTGATGGATGGAAGGCGGGAGTGGTGGCCAATTTTGGGGAAGGATACCTTCACATTCCTTTTTCTTGCTAGTTTGTATGATCTGGCATAGCTTGACCGGTAGCCCATTGCAGTATGATTGGGTGATGGATCATGATGGACAGTGATTGGTTTTCATAGCTTATTTTCAAGGGTAAAGGCCCATGTAGCTATCCCTGCAATTTTTGGGTAAGTCCGAATTCCGTGCTGCACTTTGGAGATACTGAACAGCTGAAGAAACTGTCCTTCTCTTCTCTACTTTCTGACGGCCAAAGACATCTTGAGAACATCGACTGAATGTTGCGAGCGACGAACGTCGTAGAGTCGTTGCGAGTTCGGCGCGTCGTAAAACGGTCATGAATCGACGGCGATAAATATGGCATGTTTTTTTTTCTGATGGAAATGGTAATAGCGATGGGGTGCGTGCCGAACCGGATTAGATGACTAGGGAACGGTCGTCAACGCTGTGCTGCAAATGTGACACGGTTGCAGCATTTCGGGAGGAACTGTTCAAAAACGTGCACTTTGCAGATTTGCTTGTTTATATGAAGAAGAAGATTGACCTAGAAGAGATTAGATAAGACTGAACTCAGAAAGGCGCTAGTGCTGCAGAAGACCGCTGCAGGCAAACATGCAAAATACATGACTCGGGATGGCCAAAGAGAGACTTCCTCCTCCTACTTCTGAAATTGAATTGATTTTCTGCTGAACTTAAACTCAATACTAAACGGAGCATCCAAAGCTGTTTACAACTTCATAATAGTTTCTTGGCGGGGATTTCAGAAGATCATGGGAACATGGTGCAGGATCGAGCTCAGCAAGGTCCTTGGTCCAAGGATTGTGTGGACTATTGCGCCACAAATGGACCGGGTAGTCAAGACCACTGTTGCCTAGAAAACTGGTCGCAATTGAATCAATTAAAGAAGTTAGATAGCTGCTCCACGCTGGGGCAGTTACTGTAGGCCCCATAAGCTTGACGGCGTCCGCGGATGACATCATATTGCGGAGATGACAGTGAGAGCTGCTTACAATGGGAAACTTCCATCAACGGCGGCAGACTATGCGATGAAAAATTTGCTATATGCGCTGGGGGGGGGGGGAGTCTTTTTTATCTTCTTCCTTCCCTCCCTCTCATCCTCACACTATGTGACGTGATGGGGGGAGGGGGGGGAAGGGAGGGGAGGAGAAGCGAGGGTGAAAGAGCAGATTTTATTTGTAAAAATGGTTAGCCACTTCTATGCACGCGCACACACAACATCGCTGTGTTGATGGGGTTTGCGTGCATAACCCGTTATATACGTATGTACATTACGAAACTTACAAGGAAGATCTTTCAGGGTGTGCCAAGCTTTTTCAAAACGGTCTTTTGCATGATATAGAGGCACATGCGGGAACCACAGAACCATGGTTAATTTTTCCTGAACGGCCCTCTGAATACCAGAAAAGGGGGTCCCTAGTCACACCTTTTTCACCAGTTTTTCAATCAAAGTCTATTTGTAAGGGTTTACTGACGTTCCTAATCATGAATTTGGTACTAATTATTCATGCTAACTCCATTTTGCGCGAATTTTGGAAACGTCAACTCGAAATGCAAAAATTTGTCACCACGAGGAATCGAACTAGGGACCCCTTTTTCTGGTATTCAGAGAGGCCGTTCAGGAAAAATGAACCATGCTTCTGTGGTCCCCATATGTGCCCCAATGTCATGCAAGAACCATTTTGAAAAAAGCTTGGCACACCCTGCGACGATTGCGCAATGAGCAGTACAGTGAGGAAATTTTTGTTCAATAAAATTTGAGTGGACGGAGATTTCCTCTGCCCAGGGCTGGCGTAGATGAATGAGGGTATGAAGATTCTTTCATGGAAGAAAACTTTCCAAATTCCATTTGAAACCGGCAGCCACGGTGGATGCCATTGTCCCGAGTGAGATCTTTGTCAGCCACCGGTGGC